ATTTATTTATTTATTTATTTATTTATTTATTTATTTATTTATTTATTGTACTTCCAAACTCTGACCAGTTTGGGATTCTGCCTGATATCAGGTATCAGCATGTGAAGTTACTTAGCAGCTCAGATGTTTTGTTTTTAATATGTATTTGTGTGTATTTGTGTGTGTGTGTGTGTGTGTGCGCGCGCGCGTCAGGTGCAGGTGAGTGCATAAGCCAAAAGAGGGTACCAGATTCCCTGTTGCTGGAGTCATGTGCAGTACACAGAGTGGTTAGCCATCTGACATGGGTGCTAGGGACAGAACATAGGACCTCTGGAAGAGCAGCAAGGGTTCTTAACCGCTGAACCATCTCTCCCAGTTTCATGGCTCAGATTTACTTCATGTTTGGGATTGTTTTTAATGCATTCAAAGGACAGTTACCACTGTGTGACAAGGGTCCAGAACGGTTACGTCACAGAGAGCCTGGAGGTGGCAGAAACAATGGCAAGTCACTGCAGGATGTCAAGCGTGGCAGATGGAGAGGCTCTGCTACCATCTTGACAGCTGACCCTGAGACTTCCAGATCTGCAATACAGTGGTGCACAAAGCAGTACAGAACATCTGGGCCTCACAGCTGACTATTTTAATTGCCTAATGCCTTTGAATGATTCAAAACAAGTTAGAGGGAATTGTAAATGGCTTCGATCACCCAGCCAGGTGCTAACTAGAGAGAGAAAAGACAAGGCTCCTTGCCCACCAATTGTAGCTACTCTGTAAACTAACTAGACATGTATGTGCTTGTACTGATCCTGTCCTAATAACAGTTCACACTGATGTGTTCTACAGACTAGAACCTGAAGCTCACTTCCCTTCCACACTCTAGCCCAACTCAGTTTCTCAAGCCTCCATGAGAAATCCTTGACTTCATCCAAGTCCAGCTCTGGAGTGCTCTTGAAATAACTGTTTCCCCCAATGCCTTACAGCGGTAATTAATGAACACAACAATTCTGTTGATCATCTCATTTATCTGTAGGTCGTTTGCCTACTTTACCTTCCATTGAGTCTGTTGAAGGACTCAAATCAGCCTGTAGTATGTTTGGGATAAAACAGTCAGATAATTGACCTTTAAAGTCACATAGTTGAGAAGATAGCAGCCCAGATGAAACCCAAGACATTTGACTGGAGTGCCAAGCATTCCCAGAAACTTTCTGAGGGCACTTTGCATCACTTTTAAATCCAAAGGTCAATGCTAGCTATCTACTCGATTGCTATATCAGTTCAATCACAGTGAGCAAAATGGCATATGAAGACAAATGCCTTCTCTTCAAAGAAAACCAAGTCTATACTTTCCTGCATGACGTCCCCACCAGAGAACTGTGTCAAAAATCTGAACTACACTGCAGTTCTGCCTCTTCTCCATTCTTGGGTGATGTGAGTTCAGCTTCTATGCCTAGAGGACACTGTCCTGCATTAAATGCTGTAATTAAGAAAACACATTCACAGACGTTCACTAGACCTTGACGAAGTGACAAGCAATAACATTCACTGTCTTGCCAGCTGTGGTAGCTTACAACACTACTCAGCAGGGCTGAAGCAAGAGGATGGCTAGTTCCTGGCCAACCTGGGCTACACAGCAAGTTCAAGCCAACCTGAGCTATATAATAAAACCCTGTCTCAAAACCTTAAAGGCTGGAGACACAGCTTCGTGGGAGAGTACTAACCTAACATGCTTAAGGCTCTAGGCTCCATCTCTAGTGCTATGAAAAGCAATCAACACAATACAGTCTTGCTGTGTCTTTAAATCACATGCCATTTGTACACAACCTGAGACTGCCTCGAAAGTCCCTCCCTCACTTGAGTCATCCTTGTATTAATTAATTTACAAGTGAACCTCTCAGCCCTTAGAGATTAAGAACCATGTTCAAGGTGTCATGGTTTAGTCCAGCTGTGTCTGATGCCAAGGCTGGATTCCTAACCACACAACTAAATTCTCAGCACTTGATGCCACTAGGCTAATCTCTTTTTCTTCTCTGTAGAATTACAAAAAGACACTAATATAGGGGAATGAAAAGAGGAAAGAAGGAAGGAAAGAATAAAGGAAGGGAGGGGAGGAGAGACAGACAGATGGAGAGAAAGACAGAGGGAGCTATGGGGAAGAAGAGTGGAAGATAAAGAGGATGGAAATACCTGATAAGGCCCAAGTCTTCTCCTTTCAAATCCACCAGTTTCAAGACTACCATTTCCTTGTCTGTGTTTGAAGAATACCTGTCAACAAAATGAAGAGACTCGGTCAGTTTGTATTAGAGACCGAATCTAATCCATAACAACCAACAGAAGCAGACACAAAAACCAGTAAGTAGGACTGGGTGAGACGCTCAGTGAGTAAAGGCATTAGCCAGGCAAGCCCAAAGTCCTGACTCCAGATCTCCAGAACTCACACGAAAATGAAAGAAGAGAACCGATTCCCAGGAGTTGTCCCCTGATCGCCACATATATGCTGTGGCATGAGCGCTCCCAAACACGCATGCACACGTACGTTTATGTGCCTGTGCCTCCTAGTAAACTCCAGAGTAAAGAGGAGCCCTGCACTGCAGCCAATACCTTCTCCCTCAGCTGAAGGAGCAGGTGACAACTGTGATCTGTGGTCGAATGCATTTTTATCCCATGATGTGTGACACCAGAGGACGTGGATGTGTCTCTTAACAAACAAGGTCTGCTTAGGAAATGTCCACGCATGTCAGCTTTCAATCTCTGTCTTCAGAGAATGCAAACCACACTCCGTCAAGACCTGAAACCTCAGAGTTCTCCATCTTTTCAAGGGCAGGCAGAGGACAACTTCTAAAACTGAGTAGCTTTGGGAACTATGCATATGTAAGCTGCCAAGGAGTCAGGTCAGAGCTGAGATGTCACTGTATACTGCCACAGTAGCCACGTACTCATCATCCACAAGCCTGGCTCCTTTCTTTAAAAAAAACCACTGTTCCCATTTCGTTATGATTGTGACATATCTCGCTCGTCCCCCCAGATTCTCTCCCGTCCTTCCTTGCTCAACTCAGGGAGACTGTGATGATGATTCTAGACAACACCATCTTCAAATAAAATAGAATAAACCTTGCTCATTATTAAATGGTGTGCTTTGCACGTTGAAATCTCTGCTCCATAGGTAGAGACCCTGAGACCCAGCAAATTGAGATGAGAAGTCCTGAAAGACTACGCAGTAGAAAATAGTGGCTCTCAGCAGGGCCCACAGTCTCTGAAGCCGTCACAAGGTCTCCCTCAGACAACAGTGTGCAGAGACGGTGAAAAGAATTGATGTCTAGCTCTACATTCACTTCTTGTTTCATCTTGCCTGAGAAAAACAGGTTAAAGCTGTTTTCTTTAACACTCTGCTGAGGTCCCACTGCCCCCAACAACGTGCCCATTCTGACCTGAGATTGTGCTGCTGTTCCATAAAGAACATACAGTAACACTATCTTGCTCACGCCCCTCACCTTGCTCTCTCTGACGGTGGGTTATGGAGGTAGGAAGAGGGGCTTCGGTTGATCTGCACGTTCTCAACATTTCCTCTGTTGACAAAGATTTTTCCTGGTTTGAGATTTTTGTGTGCTATCTCAATGCTCTGAAAGTTAAAAGAAAAGAGAGGGAGTTGTAAGTTTATGCATCTTGGTAGAGATGATGAGCAACACAAACAGAACAGCTCACTGATAAACTCCATTGTTTCTAATGCATCTGAGCTATAGGATAAAGGCTTGAGAATCACAAGGCCAGTATCGTTGCTGTGGAGGTACATGGAAATGACCTTCATGGCTGAAATGAGGAAAGTACTGAGGGTAAGAACGCTTCATGCTTATTAATCACACCCAGAAGTGTCCCATCTCTCAGCCTCTTCAGATGGCTGGATCACGAACAATTTGACATTTTAGGTGGCCAAAATGGGAGACTTGATTCCTATCACTCAGGAACAAAATTTATTGTCATATGTCATACAAGTGTCCCACTTTCCCCTCTATGCCATCATCATCTGTTTTCAAACATGTTTAACTTACAGCTGTAGAGAATGGAATATTCTGATCACAACTTGATATGAATTTACTTACACATTCTAAAACAAACGGCTTTTTTTTTTTTAAGTTTCATACTATACTACACCCTTACTAAGGTATGCAGTGTGTATTTCCCAACCTACTTTACTGGGTTCTTTTATAATTAATATTATATTTATAATTAATTATATTTATTATAATATGTAATTGTAGTTAATTGCATAATTATTCATTATAATTAATTTTATATTTATAATTAATATTCCTCATAACCCAATGACCTTTAGTTCATAAACCTTTAACACACTGGTAAATGCAGTATAAAAATACTGTAAAGAAGAGCCTGCCTTTGTCAGCTGAATCTCTGTACTTGGGGTTAATTTCATGGGGGAAAAAAATAGAGAAGAACTAAACCTGGAAGGCAAAGGAATTTAAAAAAAAAAAAACACTGACAAGAATCTCACACAAGAAAATGATAAACTAGAAGGCAGAGGAGAGAGAAGAGAGTACAGGTGTTCACCTCAGGAATGGGAGAGGCACTGGAAGGCGTGGCTGGCACCCATGAGAGCTGTGCCCCTCTAGACAACCTCAGAATGATAGTCTAGTTGGACCCTTTGTGCTCTGAGGAAAATACAAGGATATAAGACAATTCCTTGCAGTTCCTTGGTGGGTTTTCTCCTCCTGTGTCACTGAAGAGAACAGACTGTGGGCCCCTATTATTACCAGCTGCATACAAAATGTTTGCTATATCTTTAGATGATGGCAAGTCATTTGCTGCTATAGACAGACTTCTCTTTAGAGCTTAATAGCCCACAGCTCAGGACTAGAAGCAGAGTTAGGGCCTGTTTCCGTAGTACACAGCAGTACTTCCAGCACACAGGGGGCTGTGGCTGTTTAGAATAGCAACCTTAAGACCAGCCAAGACTGCACAGTGAGGCTCTATTAGAAGAATGGGAGGGAATGAAGGAGGGAAGACTCTCATGCAAGAAAATAAGCTACAAGACAGAGGAGAGAGGAGTAAAGGTGCCCAGGTCAGGAATGGGGAAGGAACTGGGAGAAGGGAGTTACGAAGGGAGGGAGGAAGCAAAGGGAGGGAGAGAAAAAGAATGGGGTCATGAACAGTGAGAGCTACTCCATGACTGAAAAGCCATACCTAAAGGACTAAGAAATTACCTGCTGAAAGATATTTCTTTGGCTCAGTAGGATGCCCAAGGCCTTTAGATGACCCTGCCCTTTTCATTAATTCTGCATACTAACTAACACAAATCATGAAAATTACTATGCTATTTAACTTACAGAAAGTAATGGATTTCCAACCAACCCCAGGAGGTGAAGATCTGCTGCAGGAGCTCTAGACACAAGGGAAATAGAAGTTCCTAGTCTAGATGACAAAGCCCTGACTTAGCCCTAACTTCCTGCATGTTGCCCTGCCCCCACAGCACCTCCTTTCCCTCCCTGTAAAAGCTCTGCCACAGCTGAATCTCTGAAGCAAGAGACTATAGCATCCTCCTACCTTCCCAGCCACTATAATTTCCAGAGGATTGGTCTCTGAGCCATAAAGAGACAGAAAAGAGGAAGAAAGGTAGGTACTGAAACTGGTCTCAGACCAGAGTCCTCCAAGGAATTTCTTTGTGTCACACCGAACTGCTTCTGAAATATCCCTGAGAACAGTCAGCCACAGCTGCCAGGGCGCTCTTCACCTACCTGCATGATCCCATTAACTACGTATTGAAAGGTTCGATTGCTGAATCCTTCGCTGGCAAGTACAAAGAATGTATATTGGAAAAATCCTGACGGACCTGAGTGTGTGTGCGTGCCACTCAGGATGACGTTGTCTCTTCGATACAGGGAGCCATATTTACTCCGGAGTCGCTTCAGGACCTTGAAGGAAAACAAACATAGAACTAAGAAGAATCCTATAGCGTCTCAGCAGGAAGGGGAGTTCTGAAGAACTCAAGCGCTTCTATCTGTCCAGCCCAGTCTGTCTGTCTGCCGGGCACTCCCTCCAAGCTGCTCATTAAAGTAACAGGTCCAACGATGACAGTGGGACACTCACATTTTGTAGGACCTTTGCTATGTGCAAGCACAGCATTGGCCAGGTATTTTATGTACATTGTGCTACTCAAAATATCCTTAACAGTCCTCCCACCCCAAAAAGCGGTTATAATTCACCTTGTCTTTTTAGCTGAGGGCACTGACACACAAGAGTTAATGTCTTCACTAACTGAAGGAGCAGCGGGAGACAAGCTCCAAGTCTCTGTAACCAGAGCTCTCACCTCTTCTTCCTCAAAGTCTAGCATTCCTCACAGATGGCAATGCAGTAAGTTTGAATCTCGAAGGTGGTTTAATTATGATGAAAGGGAAAGACAAAAATAATTGTGTAGTGTTATACAGCAGTGAATTCTATGCAGGGTAAGAAAAACGCTGGCAGATAGTAGTGAAGAGAGGTCTTCCTGAGGAGGGGCTCTGTTTGGCAGGTGTTGAAATGAAAATAGAGGAGCTGCTTCTGCTGCCCCTAGGAAGAGTATTCCAGACTGGGTGAAGAGGATCTGCAAAGGCCTCACAGCAGGAAGCCACCTACTGTGTGTGAGACCACACCAGGAATCCAGTGAAGGAAGAAACCATCCTGACAGCGCTAACATGCTAGGCATACGAGGGAGTCGCCACACCATTCAGGGCTTTTAAACACATAGAAACACCCACCACGGTCATACCATTTCACTAAGACTAAGAGCCACTAGGTTTTTTAGTTTCCGTGTTCAGCAATAGATAAAGGAACTTTAGTAAATGCTTATTACATTAGTCACTCAATGAACACACATATGTATGTGTAAATACACATCAAGAAAATGCAGGAAAAAATGTTGCTGAGTAGCTAACTATGAACCTGTTTAATCACCTACAATATGACATTTGCTATCCCCTAAAAGTGTCAATGACAAAGCTCCACCTTTCATGAGATAATGCTATGTATTTAACATGCAGAGATATCAACTTACTCTCTTCTGCTTTAACTAACAAGCTCTATCGGCCTTGCTCTAATTTTGTGGTCAGTAAAGCAAAAACAGAAGAATGTGTAAAATATTTTGCCTCATTAACCTATCCATGCCCTCAGTGTTACCAGGCGTTATGGCTGTTTTTAATGTCAACTTACCACAAATTAGAATTAATACTAGGCGGGAGAGATGGCTCTGTGGTTAAGAACACTTGCTGCTCTTACAGGGGACCTTGGTTCAGTTCCCAGCACCCACATGGTTGCTCATAGATGTCTATAACTCCAGTTCTAGGAGAGCTTATGCCCTCTTCTGGCCTCTGTAGGTACTGTGCACATAGGGTACATATACAAACAGGCAGACAAACATTCCTTCACATAAAAGAAATTAATCTAAAAAATAATTACAAGAATAAGGAGAAGAAATGAGAAAGAAGGAAGGAAGAGGAAGAGGAAGGAGAAGAAACAATTACCTGAGTAGCGACGTCAGTTGAGGAATTGTCTTAATTGCCTTAATTTATATGGGAGACCCAGACCAAAGACTGTTGAATAGCAGTCAAGACAAAGAACAATGTTTCACCTTTCACTCTCACTGTTGGATTGGTGTATCCTGTTGCAGCTGTTTCAGATTCTTTTGCTGATGTTAGAACGGGTATTTCCAAGCGGCCATCATTTACTGAGGCCATCATTTACCAGAACCCTATAGGACCTCAGTGATAGATTGGGACTACTGAGACACCCAGAAACTAGCCCGGTCTTGATCCCTCTAGGCTGAGACAGCCATCGTGAGACTGATTACTCCCACTACAGAGGCTCCCAGCCTCAAGGACCAGGTTGCCAGCCTCCTTCCTATGAGACAACTGTTACTACCATTTCAAAGGAAGGTGACTTAATAAAACACATATTTTTATATTTTTCATCCTATCAGTTCTGTTCCTCTAGAGAATCCTAACTATAGAATAGAGAATGCCATACTCACATAAGCATTACTTATGTGAATGACAAGTTATAACTAGCCTCCCTCTGATAGCCTTCAACTTCATCCATCCAAGTTAAGTTTCTGTCTCTTTTGTTTAACTTGAACTCTAATCCCAAGGCCTCATCCCTCCCACACAGTCCACTAGACAGTAATTACCTCATTCATTGAAAAAAAAAAAATCTATCACAAGGGAAGATAATCAGTGACCACCATGGAGATGAATTAAAGTCAAAGGCCATTGTTCTCTTACTTCTCCACTAGGGCAGGAAGGATGAGGAAGACAAAGAGTGAAAGTCAAGCTTCAGGTTCCTCACTCCAATTCATTTTATCCCTAATAAATCCCAATTTTGAATTTTAGAATTAAGTACATTTCTTTATACTATGTCAAGAGGTGAGTTCTTAAGAAAGATAGTAATTATGAACCTTGGGTTTTAAAACAATGAACAGCTTACAGATATCTTAAAGTACAGCCTCTGGTAGAGAGTTAGGGGAAAAGAAATTAAATACTGATACAATATTCATGCCTGTGAATAGTTGTTATAGACAACCGTGTTCTACTTTCAAGAAAGAAAGGTTATGTTTGCCCAGAACAAAGCAGTGACAGTCCTTGCCTACTGTTTACTTCTTTGTCTTCCCTTTCTGCTCCATTCTGCTGTTAGCACTCTTGGGAACATGATCAAAGGAGCAAGAAAGGCGTTCTGTTTTCCTGCCCTGCCTCACAGCTTACAGACTATCCCTGTCTTGTCCCAGGCTGGAAATGTCATCACTCTCAGAGCTGAGATGGAGAACTGGCCTAAAACCACGCTGTGTTGGTCTGCTTGATGCATATATACCCAGCTGTCTTTATTCTCCTCCTGCCTTCTTTTTGAACTGACTTGTGAAAACTAAGTTCGTTGCTATAAAGGCCTTTCCCCTGAGCCTCAGATTACAAGGGGAAGTAAAAATAGAAAGAAGTGGTTAAATCAAGGCCGCTATTGACCTAAGAGCATCTGGAATCTGGCCCATCAGTCTCTTACCTTCTAGCTTCGTCTCCAGTGTCTACCTTTTGCTCATGACTCTGCCATTGCCAAGCATCTTTGATTCATCAGAAAAGCAGTGTGCAGTTGTAGTGAGTGACTCCTGGCTCCAGGATGCTCCTAAGTTTGGATCCTAGCTCTGAAAATGCCTCACCACACAACCTCGGGTAAGTTACTTTATCCTCTGAAAGTGGTTTCTATGTCTTTCTAAGCCCATAATAACATCTCCTTCAAAGAGTTCGGGGGTTATAATACCTATGGGTTATTCTGAACAGTACCCGGCTCATTGTGAGTGCTAGGTTTGTATTTATCCCATTTATTCCCAAATAATCTTAATTGTCCTAGCACCTTGTAGTCTCACTGCCATCCCATTGGATTAAGACCAATCTCATGTGATACAAAGGAAATTGCCAGGAAGAGGTTAACAACCCCTCCCCAAACCCTATCTTTTCTTTCAGCCTTCTAACACTCCATAACATTAAATTTTTTTCCCTGATAGTTATCGTTTTCCTATCTGGAATCTCACCAACTTAGTCTCCATGTTAAAGAATCTACTGATCTGTGACTTCCCCTCTGGTTGCACTTTGTTCCGATCTGAATGAAGCATCACTGTCTGGTCAAACACCCTATGCAGAACTGCTTACATTACTCCACTCAAACCTGTTCTAAGATTCCCCATGACCCACGTAAGTAAAATCAATTTGGCATCCGAGGCTCTTTGTAGTTATGACCAATGTACCGTCTAGGTCCATCTCTGCATACATGATTCCATATGTTCTACTGGATTTCCTCTATTCCCTCCTATATTTCTGTATTTCTCCTTTCCAACTCTGTGTTCATTCTGACCCTTATATTTGGTCTCTTCCTATTCTAGTCAGTCTTCTATTGCTGTGACCGAAAGCAACTTGTGGAGGAAAGGGCTTATTTTAGCTCTAAGTTGTACTCCATTATGAAGGGAATGTTAGAGGAAGGCCTCAAGGCAGGAGCCTTAAGGCAGGAACAGAAGCAGCAGCCATGGAAAAACACTAATTACTGGCTTGCTCTGCCCATTCATGGCTTACCCAGCCTGCTTTCTTATAGAATCCAGGACCATCTGCCCAGGGGTGGTGCTGCCTTAATACCAATCATTAATCTAGAAAATGCCCCAACAGACTTGCCAACCAATCAGAAAGAGACAATTTTTCAATTGAGGTCACCTCTTTCCAAATGACTCAAGTTTGTGTCAAGCTGAAAAAAAAAAAAAAAAACCTAACCAACACACTCTTTCTCTACTTTAACCACCTAGAAATCTGTACACTTATATATTATTTCTACTATGAAAATGTTTTCCTGGTTCTCATTTTCTGTATTTCCTTGTCTCCTTGTGATAGTCTCAAAAAAACTACATGAGTTCTTTAATCCTACCTAAATAAATAAGTAGCCTTAAGCAACATAATGAGGCCCTGCCTCAAAACAAAACAGTGCTAAAGCCTAACTTCCCTAATTTTAAGTGTCAATAAACTTGCTTAATGAGCAGAACAGGGTAATTGTGGATAACTGCTGAAAATGGATCAGAAACCCACTGTCTTCCACACTTCCAGAATCCACATGGATCTGAGTGGAAAGCCGAAGCTTCCTGCCAGCAGGCACATTTGTGAATCATCTTGTGTGTGGCTTCTACAGCCCAAGTCAAGCCTCATATGTCTGTTTTTTGCTATCCTCATAACTGCAAGAGAACCCAAGCCAGAACCATGTAGCTAAGCTAGCCCTGAATTCCAGTTCCACAGAACAAGTAAGCTACTAAATATTTGTTGTTTGGGCCTTCTGTATTTTTGATAAAATATGGAAATAGGTAACTCTAGAACAGTACCCCAGCGATTCGTGGCTGCCAGCATGCATCTGTTAGTCTTTTCCTGAAGACTCACCAAGACTGTGGCTGTGTAAGAGACGTGAACTAAAACCTCTTTAGTTGTGTCCCCTGCAAACACTAGCAAAACACCTCGAAGAAACTGGGCGACAGAGGCAATTTTTCTCTCTAAAAGAATGATGTTTTTCTTAGTTGGATGCACCATAGTTGGTAGAGTACTTGCACGGTATACAGGAAGCCCTGTGTTCAATCCCCAGTACCACATAAACTACGAGTAAACCTGGTACTCGGGATGTACAGGCAAAAAAAACACGAATTCAAAGTTTCTTTAATATAACTCTGTGATGGGTGACTGTGACCAGCACAGGCTACATGAAACACTGTCTCAAACAAAGGGGCTGGGGCTAACATCTCTTTTAAGAAGGCAGTTAGTTGTTTTGTTGTTGTTGTTGTTTTTCATAACCCAGCTCTGCTATTTGCTAAGAACTGCCCTAATTTGGGAAGGGGACTCTCTCTCTGACATTCGGTTACTTTATCAGGGGATCACAGCAGGGCCAGCTCAGGGATTTACTGTTAGCATAGCATGGGGAAAATACTTCATTTCCTCCTCCTGGCTGCTGGTGGGGGAGGCTTCCAACCCTCTCCAGAGAGTACCAACATCAGGTGGTATTCTTGAGGTGCCTTCCCTGCCCCTGCCACACAGCACAGCAGCGAAGTGGTCAGCAAGACAGACTGTCAGAACACAAGCCTGCATGACGGACACCTGATCACGGCTCAGGTCAGTGTAAGGCCTCTCTCCCTTTCTCATGCCTGCGAATCTGCGTGCACGCTCCGAAGTCATAGCTACTACAGGATCCGAGCCAATAAAAGTAGCTCTGGGCCTGGGCTCTGAAACCGGCTTGACAGACAGTAAAGGGACTCCTGACTGTCACTGGATTCTCCCAACCATCCTCTCCTGCCTGGCGTCCTCTCTCCTCTTTCTCTGCTCCATAAAGCCGCAAGCAACTCAGGACCCTTTGGATACCTCTCTGCTAACCTCAACAGTCTGCACAGCTAAGTAACAAGGTCTAAATCCGGGGTTTGGGGGGAATCAAACAAAATTCTGCCTCATTTTACAAAAGTTTAAGGATTAAGATTCTTCTTCACAACTCTCTTTTTTTTTTTTTTTTTCCAAAGCAGGGTTTCTCTGTGTAGCTATGGCTGTCCTGGATTTGCCTTGTAGACCAAGCTGCCCTCAAACTCACAGGGATCTGCTTGCCTCTGCCGCTCTGAGTGCTGGGAATAAAGGTGTGCACCACCAAGCCTGGCTAGAATAAGATTCTTTAAACCCTGGAAGCAGTTTTCAAACTCACCCAACAATGACCAGACTGACATAACAGCCCCTCCGTGTGACCTTCACCCCCTTTCTTTCATTTCCAGTTCATGGCCATCCCCGTTGCAAAGCTGCGTTTCAGTCCTCAACTGATTCCCTGTATGTGTATGTAACTAACCGCACGAAAACTTGAGGAAGAGGCTAGTGACCAGCTGGTGCTGAGACTTCTGACAGGAACGACAAGGTGAGGCTATATGTGAGCCTAAGTGTGGTATAACAAGCTTTCAGAGGCCATTTGCATTCATAACAACGCTGAGCCTTCAGCATAACTGAAAACAGGTTTTTAAAAGGAGCCGTGCTCGTTTAATTATTTGTGAGGCTGTCGAGCCCTTAGTTTAAAGGTGGGAGGTACGCATTAGATGAGAAGGCCAGAGTGCAGGGTTCCAGTTGCGGGCACCTACGGAGCCCTTTCCAAACCCCCATGGCATCACTCACCTCCAATCTGAGTCGCTGAGAGATCATGCACAGTTCCACAGTCACAAATGCCATCCGATTTGACCCGTCTGTGTCTGCGAGGATGAAAGCTCGGCTGTAGAGCCTGGTGAGGAGACCCCGTGCGTTCTGGCCACTTTTGCCATAGCCCATCTAAAAAGAGAGAAAAGCACTGAACGTCTCCAAGAGCCACACACCATCCGACCAGTGGTGACTGCTCAGGGACACAAAGAGAAAATCAGCATGGCTCAGTGGCTCGGTGAGACTGTGTATGTGTGTGGGTGTTTCCAAAAATGTAAGAGCCTTTGGTATTTGTGCAGAAAAGGAGAAAGGAGACATAAAGAAGCCCTGGCAGGGCTTCTCTGTGAGAGCGAGCCTGTGGCTGCACTCTCAAGGGACTTTCTAGTCTTTGATGGAAAACTTTCCTTCTAAGGAATTGCAAAGAAGGCACTGTTTCTCTTTCCTCCACTGTCACTCAGCTTTTCACCAGTTCATCGTTCTCTAGACTAACCCAAGTAAAATCATGCACTCCTATTCTACTACCTTTTTCTCACCATCTAAAACAAAATAAAACAAAACACCATTAAGTTAAAACCGTATTCATGCTCAGGTCTTTCAATGGCCACTTCTAGTCCTTGCCTTCCCACTTAAGAGAGTGTTCATGGTAATTAATTAATAAAAACAAGCCAAAAAAAAAAAAAAGGCCTATACATGTCTGCATTTTACAAGTAGGAGATTTACAGTCTCAAATCTTCAAAGTTTTTTCACCACAAAACTATAAAACAGGGAAGGTCAGAATGTATACATACACCAACAAAAAGGGATCAACTGATTTTAAGAGGCACTTGTAACTAAATTTTAAAACTAAGTTTTCCTTACTGGACGATAGCCTTAGTGCTGGGCAGCAGCAATGTCAACAAGAAAGCTGAAGACAATGATTACGTAATAATCAGGAATGAAGGACACCATATAATAAAAGTACTTATTTCATGCCCTCTCCAAGGAGCCCAGCCATCTACCTACCAAATTGATATCTGATACTTGTCCTGTGCAATCAGCTCGCCCAGCACCGATGTAATAACCACTGAAGTTCTGAAATGGAGGAGGGTCTGGAGCCTGTGTAATTGGAGAAGACTGGGTGGCTGTGGGGCCCAGGGTGGTTGAAAACCCATGATTTCCTGAACATAAAAACAGAACAGGATATTTGAAAAACAGCAGGTTATCGCTCTTCTTGGCATCAATTAGAAGACACAGTTTCAAGCTCCTAAAGAAAACAAACATTCACTATTGTCTCTCATCTTTAGCTGTGTTTGGTTTGGATTGGTTCATTTACTTCTTAAGACAGAGTCTCATTATGTAATTCAAGCTGGCTTGGAATGCAAAGATCTTTGTCTTTTTATATGCTGGGACTGTAGGTGTGTGCCACCACACCTAATGCTATGCATTTGCCTACATATAAAATAGAAAGTGAGAGATGGGAGCCTGTTTTAAGTCATAAATCAAAGCACAGTCGTGCGCTTGGACTAGTGATGTTTCCGAATAATAAGCAAGGCCTTTGCAGAACACTTTTTGCCTTCAGTTTCTCCTTACCAGCATTTTCTTGTCACCTTATCCACTTCATTTCTACTTTCCTACTCTAGTCAAGCAGAGTAGGTACATCTCCTAAGTCTAACCCCTGAGATGGACTTGCTTTCCCATTCCTACAGACTTCCCAATGCCCTCCTTTCCACCCAACACTGTCCACCACTCCCTGTAGAGCTGATCCATCTCCATTATTCCTACATCACTTCCTCCCTGAGGATGTCAGCCGGCTGTCACTGTCTTGCTTTGGTCCTTAGCCTGGTAAGGCCTTTTATTAACACAGCTCAAATCATTGCACATTTGCTGTATATAAGTTTACCTCAATTGGTTATTCTAATTATGCATTTATGTATTTATAAACATATATTCCATACCAACTGTATGTATACACGTATTTATTTATAACATATAAACACATATAAATATTGGGGGATGAAAAATAATATAGAGATTAAAAGGCAAAAGCCAGACACGAACTTCTTGGTTTGAAATCTAATTCTACCAGTTCTAACGGAACAGATCTCCTAATCTAACTCTCTCTGGCTTTCCCATCAATAATAAGAGGCTCACATGCTTCCTAGTCTAGTTTTAATGATAACTTTGTGAATACACATTAAAGAGTTAGAACAGTGCTTTGACATCCTTATAGCTGGACATTTCACATATGCATTTGCTAGCATCAAAGGTCAGTGCCACAGGCTTTGACGGTCAGAAATGCTTAGAGAAGGAGATTGACCTCTTCTGAGGTTCCAGAACTTTGGAACTGAAAATTTAGAAATCAACAACTCCAACTGTAAACAGCCTGGCAGCAATGAAAATATTATTAAGAGATATTTGTGCCCCTCCCTGTGGCTATTAGCTACTGAAACAATGGGGCCCAAGACATTGGAGTTTCCCCAGAAATTTCAAGCTCTAAAGAGGAAATGGATGGGAACTTGCTTAGAGCCAGGGCTGGGACAGGAGCTAATCTTCAGAAGGAGAGTTCATGTGGTTCTGACAGCTTGTCAAAGGATCTTGCAGGAGAGACTGGAACTAGGACCAGAAAGGCGAAGAGGATCACATTTTGACCAGGTGGTACAGATATGGGTAACCAAGCAGTTACCCTCACCACTTACCCTCTATTTAAAACTAAACCTCATGTGGGGAGGCTTTGGGTGGGGGGAGGGTCATTGACTTTCTTTTTCCCTCTCCCCACTGTAGCCTTATTGAATATAAATCTTTTTATGCTTTTCACTATGGCTTTGTCTCTATAACAGGCCCATTAAAGATGAATAGCGAAGTATAGCTTGATAGTGTTTCAGGGCTCAGGCGTGGACCCTCACAACTCTGCTATTATAATGTCCACAAGCTTAAAGATAAGAACCCAGAAACTTGGAGAAGTGACTTAACTAAGACTTCATAAAGAACCTGTGATAAACCTGTTACCCAGACAACCTCAAAGCAGAATCAGATATGCCTGCAACTACATCTCGGGGGAGTTCAATCCACACGTCTCTTACACAGCATCAGAGATTACAGGGAAAAAAGCATTACTTTTGTTTTTGCTGCATTGCCTCCAACATCAAAATGTGATACAAACTAGGCCAAGCTTCATGTAGAAGGCAATCTCTTTGCAGTCCTGGTGTTTTGATGTGTAGGATGGCATCAACATTAGAACTTCATAAGAATTTTGTGAAAATTAGATAGGAAAAATAATATAGAGTTCTTATTAAACTATAACACCCCCATCACATGGGAGTCAAAAACTCAGTAGCCACTGCTATGAGAATATACTGTGGCTTCTAGTAACCTCCCATCTTATTCTCTAATTTTAGGAGCCACGTTGAAGTCCTAAGGATGATTTCACTTTTAGTCATTCAGCAGTCTTCTCTGCCCACCCCTGCAACACAAAACCCTTGCTCCTCTGTATTTACAGAGAATTCAGAGTACTAAGACATGGCAAGAAACACACTGCAAAAATGAAGAGGCTACAAATGTGAAATTCTCCATCTCCTTTGCTACTTTCATGATTCTCTCTCTCTCTCTCTTTCTCTCTCTCTCATTTGACCAGAACATTCAGGCTTCATCTCTCTTCTCTATTCAGTTAACAGCCATGTATCTTTGCTCTGAAACAGAGGTTCTCTCCAGGAACCAATGATGATACTATCTGAAAATGCAGCCTACATCACATTCAGAAAATAATCTTGCTTCTGGTGTCGTGACAAGAAAAACAAGCGATATCTAAACACCACAATTTCTATCTCCTCTCAAAAACTTGGGTGAAGTAAGATGACGTGGTATCATAATGAAGCCCACCTTGTTTATAGAACTTGACTGGCCCTGATAGGGACTGGCTCTGAGAAACTGCCTTTATTGTTCTAGGGTGCTTTGTTTGGCTGGTTTGGTTGGTTTTCCACTTTACTCCCAGTAGAGGAGTATGCTAACCAACAGGCAGATAAAGGTTGAAAGCAAAGGTGAACTTACTGGACTCAGAAGAACCTTGAACTATGAGTACATCAACAGAAAATCTAAGAGGATATGTGTATCTGTCTGTTATCTGGTTTTCTGAGGACAAAGGTAACTGTGATAAAAAGCTGGTACCATTGCAGAAAACACAAATAGTGCAGTTGGAGGCAGCCTCTGTCTCAGGTTGTTCACAAGCAGCTGAAGCAGAAAGACACTATTTCTCATCTTGGTGCTGCCCAACAACATAGACCTATCCTATAGTCCAGGAATGGCATCCAGAAGAAGCCAAGATGCTTGCCTTTTTGATTTTCGATGGTCCCACTGGTGACGAACAAGAGGGTAAGAAGGGCCACTGTGATGACTGTCATTACTACCAGAAGGAAAATGAGGAATGTCTCCAAGGTAGAAAAGGTGCGCTTTGCCATTTCTCCTACGACAAAACAAAAATAAAAGGAGAAATACAGGAGGAAATGAAATTACAGATTCACAGGCATGTGCTTCAAGCTGCTCAAGACTAAGTGATCATAGCTCTTCCATTTCAAGCATAGAACACTCTTCCTTCTCACTCCATGTCCCAACTCCTTGGAAAACAAGGCCAATAAATATAAGTACTCTTTTTGAAAAGCCTACATATGGTTTCCAAATCTTTCTCAGCACAGTGATCCTGCTGGCAACCACACCTATGATCTGACACTAGCACCAGAAGTAAAACCATTTGCATTCGTTGGCTACACCACACTGCTTTTGCTTACAGCAATGGTACCATTTATGTGCACAGGTCTGGCTGAGAGTGACTGATAAACAACACACTGCTTGTACTTCGCAGGAGGCTAGCTGGCTCAGAGCTATGCTCTTTGTTTATGGACCAAGTAAAGAGATGGCTCAGTGGTTAGGAATACTGACTGCTCTTCCAGAATACCCAGGTTTGATTATCAGCATCCACGTGAAGGCTCCCAACCATCTGCAACTCCAGTCCCAGGTGATCGACACAAATTTCAGGTTCTTGTGGGCACTAGGCAGGCAAGTGGTACACGGGCATACATGCATGTAAAACAATCACACTTATAAAATTAAGCCATTTATTTATTCACAGAGACGGGGTCTCTTCATGTAGGTCAGGCTGACCGCAAACTCACAGAGATTTGCTTGCCTCTGCCTCCTACATGCTTGAATTAGAGGAGTGTACTGCTACACCCAGCTAAATTTATTTAAAATAATCACAATTTTAAAAAGAAAGATGTTTCTTGAATTTTTTTTTTCTTGTCCAGTTGTAGGTGAAAAAGTCACTGTGTTACTGCTTAAAGTTTGTTGTCTCTTTCTGCCTTAGGCAGAGAAGGAGATTGGTAGCTCAAACCAGGAATTAGTGAAAATCTCTCTTTTGGTGATCAAAAAGATGTCAGATAGCCTGCAACGCCTGTGTTACACAAAAGCCCTTCTTTGCCTTTTTCTTTCCAATGTTTTAGAAGAATCTATCAACACTCAGCATGATTCCAGAAGTTAGAATCCTATACAATAGCAATTTTCAACCTGTGGGTCGCAACCCTTCTTGAGGGTCAAACAAATGACCATTTTTAGGGGTCACCTAAGACCATCAGCAAGCACAGATACTTACATTGCAAAGTCCTAACTGTAGCAAAATTACACTTCCAAAGTATCAACAGCAATAATTTTATGGTTGGGGAATCACAACATGGGGAACTGTATTCATGGAGTGGGAAGGTTGAGGACCGCCGCTCTACAATGTAAGGGGAAGGAATGTAACCTGGTACTTTAAATAAAAACAAATTCTGGAGTTCTGTTATGAGGGCAGAATCTCTTGCCTTCTTACAGGGAAACCTTAGGAAGTTTCCAGATATTCGACCTCAGATATACGCTGATCACGTTCCCATCAGTGTTGTCGGAGCCCATAAAATAAGAGGCCACGTGGTCTGTAATACTTCTTGCGTCCCCCGAATTAGGATTAAGTTCTCAAATGATAGTCTTCATCATTACATTTCAAAACAGCAAAAAACTGCACTCCTCTCTGGGCTTGAATGTTTGAGTGTTTCTATAAACCCAGCTTGGAACTTTTAGAGTAATTTTTCATTAGAAAAATTTGGGTTCGTAGCTGGGCTGCCCTGTCTGGCCTCAGTGGGAGAGGATGTTACTTGATGTACCAGTGTAGGTTGGTACCCAAGGAGGAGCCTCCCCTTCTCTGAGGAAAATGGGTGGAGGGAATGGGGCAAAGGAGTATGGGAGAAGGAAGAAGGGGCTTTAATCAGGCTGTGAAGTGAATAAGTAAATTAATGAAAACATGGATGGTTTGATATGTTTATTTTATATGTGTAAATGTTTTGCCTGTATGGTTGTATCTGGAACACACATGTACCTGGAGCCCAAGGAAGTCAAAGGTGAAATTCCTCGGAATGGGAATTAAGGATGGCTGTGAGCCACCATGCAGGTGCTCAAAACCAAGCCACGTTCCTCTCCAAGAACAACAAGAGCTCTTCACAGATGAGCCATCTGTAGCTGGGACCTGTTTTCTTAACCTGTACTTTAGGAAACTCAAGCAGTCATGTGGAATTAAAATCCCAGGACTTGGCCTCAAAGTAAATGCTTCATGGCTAAAATGCATCCATCTAAGAGTTTCAAAATGACAGGAGAGGTTAGATGCATTTAGTAGGGCTCAGACAAGGTTTTGTTTTGCTCTAACCTAGATGACAAGATAAACAATGTTGTCATCAGATTCTCTGTTTGGATAGAATTTACACTTATAAAATCTGAAAGTTGACATTCAAATGTAGACCCCACATTATGGCAGTAAGTGCTGTCCTTTGGATATGCCAGGTACTCTGTGCCTGCTAATCCCTGCCCATTAGCGTAATCTACTAAATCACTTCCTGATTTGTATAAGCACTGGATTTTGTAATATCTGGGCTAGAAGTGAAAAATCAACATAAAGGCAGAAATTTCTGAATTGGATAGACATCAGAAAAGACAAAAAGACGGTAATACTTTTTTTTTTTTTTTTAATTAGGGAGCTGTCCTCTCTTTTTGCTCTATCATCACCCTCAACACCAATGGTAGGACAACCTCAGATCTAGGACAAGATAATTCGGTCCGTGCCTTCCTCCCAGTTCCCTTCATCAGTCTCGAGAATCAGGAAACACACCTAAAATGTGCCTCTGAGCATCTGATCTCATAAGGGCATTTGCCTGTCACTAGCTGTTGTTTCAGCCATGAACTTTAAGCCCATTATATTTAAAACTTCCTTAAAACTTTTAGTTCTAGGTGCCTTTTTCTAAGCTAAAAATGAGGAACAACGGGGCATCTCAATTCTAGATCATCAGAATGAAGACTGTGTATATAAATGTCGTCACAGCATGTCTATGAAACACAGATAACACGTGTGTGTGTGTGTGTGTGTGTGTGTGTGTGTGTGTGTGTGTGTGTGATAGTGTTGGTTTTACACTATCAACCCTCTATACAAACCAAGAACTCATTTGATTTAACCTCTTACTTGGACTTGAGCAGTCTACCTCATATGCTTCCTCATCTGTCTGCCAGGATTTCTGCTAAGACATTACCATTCTTTTATTTTCTCCACTAATTTATTTATTTAATAACTTTACAGCCTAATAGAAACCCCCTCCCTCCTCCCCTACCAGTCCCATTCTTCATGCCTCTCTCTCTGCCTCCTCCCCTTCTCTTTTAAAGCCATTTTAGATTACTTTACCACACACACACACACACCCCTTTCAGGAAATCCAACTTTGTATTGGCACTGTTTATTTTTAACACTAATGAATAAAATCTCAAATCAAACATTAAGACAGATGTCCTGTTTACCCCCAAAAATGCAAATATATTATGGGGCACTGCATCTCTCACTGTATTTTAGGTGATTCTAGATTTCATAATGGCTCACTCAGTCAGTCCAAATCCACCAAGCTTAGCTATTTGTCATATCTCTGCAACACAAAGATCTGTTTTTCAAGGAGACAACAATGAAAAAACTTAACAATTTAACACAAATGGGCTTCCAAGAGGTGAAACTCCCAGATTTTATCCTGGTCTTAGATACTAAGATGAGCTATGATTCCTTTTCCATCTCTCTCCATTAAAAAAAAAGAAAAAGAAAAAAAGAAAAGAAAAAGAAGAAGAAAGAAAAGAAAAGAAAGAAAATCATTCTTACCTGATTCTTTGAATCAGAACAGTGTTCTCCTCCTGGGAGAACAAATGGTTATTCAGAATCTTGTTCCCTGTCCCTTGCAGGTTGCCAGGCTGATTCCTCAACGTGTTTCCAAATCTACTGAGAAAAGATTCCATAGTCAAGTCCGGGAGCATTAAAGTTCTCATTAGCATACCTGCAGCCAAGCAGAAGGACGTGACTAAAGTACATTGATTAAAGAAAGCTTACATGCATTCTCCTGTGGCTGCCTGCTATTGGAGACCGACAATGCAGAAGGCCTGTTAGACTGAAGGTCATTTCAATCTTAATGTAACTCTTCCAGTATGACAAGTTCTGTGGCAGGCCTGCAACCCAGATTGTTAAAAATATTTATACGCTATATTTATATTCAACCTGTGATCTGGAAGACAATGAATGCTGTTGGACTGGGTGTGGACTATGAGAACCACTGAGCAATACTTATACCCATTTCAGGATGGATAAAGGAGTGATGTTAACTTTTGGGTTTGCAGGCCCTTGTGGTAAAATGTAAAGTCCAAATGAAATAAGAATGTGACTCACAAATAATGTAAACACTTATGATTATGTTGGAGGCAAGGCAGCAACATGCACAGCAAGCTTTAGAGACCAGTCTGAGCTATGCTGTGAGAGACTGCCTTAAAATAATGACCATGATGACAGTATTATAGATCGATTGTGCCGAGAGGCTTCAAGGACACTAAAGCATCGCTACATGATAAGTTGTCTCAAGTTTGCAATAGCACAGGATAAAAGACCAAATGGACGTGAGAATACACAGCAAACAGTCCGAATAATTATCTGGTGATTAAGGTGATTGCCGCCCTCTATCCCCGTTGTGCAGAAGAAAGGAAGTTTTTCTTCTTCTTGGAGACTGTGTTCTATGCAAGTGTGGAGCAAGGCAAGGCTTGCAAAAGCCAAAGACAGCAGAAATGGGCCCACCCTCCTGACCCTCCAGGGATCAGCCTGAAGGCTGTCTAATTTTCAGCTGAGTTAGAAACGACAGCAGTCTCTAAAATTACAAGTAAATGCCTTTAGACCTTAAGTGGTGAGTCTTAACGCTGTTGTGATACTGCAAAAGGAAACAGCTTAATTCATGGTAGCAAATGAGAGTGGGTTGTTTTTTTTTTTTGTTTGTTTGGTTGGTTGGTTGGTTTTGTTTTGTTTCAGACAGGGCTTCTCTGTGTAGCCTTGGCTGTCCTGAATGTTAAAGAGCTAGCTGGTCTCAAACTCACAGAGATCCACCTGCCTCTGCTTCACCCGAATGCTGGGATTACAGGGGTGTGCCACGGAGCCCAGCTAGCAAGGGGCTTTTTAATTGGTGTATTTGGGTTAAAATTCTTAAAGGTGATAGACCTAGATACCACAAGGCAGAGAGGGAGGGGAGTTTTGAATTCTCAGGAGATATGGAAGAAGGGGCTACAGAAGCATGTTGGCAAAGAGCCCTGCCATTGAGACATGTGCTTTCCGGTTACTTTAGGATGCTCTTTCCTCTGTATTTGAGACCTGAGACATGGCATGTAACTGACCCAGCATGACTCATATTGTTAGGAGTATGGGGGGCCCCTGAGACAGAGTTTTCTGACAGCCGGCAGGGCGGGCTCAAGCCTAGAGGGCAAAGAAGCCTCAGAATTCCAACTGCTGATAACTGTTGGTGCTCAGATCTTAGAGAGGAACGACCCAGCACAAAGTAATGTAGAAGAAAACATGGAGAAAAAGTCTTCTTCTAAAGGACCCTAGTTCCTAAACCATTAGCTGATAATCATTAGCATCACAAATTTCTTTTTTTTTTTTTAAGAAAAATGATTTATTTATATTGGTTGGTCAGTGTGTGTGTGTGTATACACCACATGAACACAAGTGCCAGTGGAGACCAGAATAGAATGCTGTATCCCCTAGATTTGGAATTACAGGTGAGCAGCCTAATGAGCTTGCTGGGAACTGAACTCAAGTCCTTTGGAAGAGCAGTAAATACTCCTAACAACTGAACCATCAATCTAGGTTCCATATTTTCTTAATATATTACTTGTCACATTCAGTCACAGCCTTTTATTCTTTTATTCTTAGAATAATTAAAAATTGAATGACTTTAAGGAAACCTGTTTTGGCAGGTATCTGTATTGTCCTTTTTATCATTTCTTGCTCAAGAAACCAAAATATCCTTGGAGAGACAGTTGCTCTGGGTTCAGAAACAGAAATTACATGAACCAAATCTATACTATTCTATATGAATTCAAGACAGTTATCAAGATTATAAAAAGTGTGTCAAAAAGAACTAAAAACTTTCCTACTAATCAAAGATTGAGAATGAGATAGTTTTAAAAATAACTGCACAATGGGATAAAACAAGTATGTCTGCGTCTATAAGCTCATGAAGGTGGTTACCATTTTCCTCTCATATGATTTTAAACATTTTGTGATTAACACATTATGCCCTTATTTATGAAGTGCAATGTGTCATTTCAATCCATGTGTACTAATCAAATCAGGATAACTACTTCTACCTTTTGTCTTTCTGTGTGGAGTCCTATGATCATCACACATAACAAATTATTGTAACCCAGAGCTTTCCCTCACGGTGTTTATAGATTCAGAAATATATTCCCACAAAGCCATCATTTTGGAAAAAGAAACCCTAAGGAACTAATTCTCCTTTCTAATAATCAGTAGTAAAAAGGGGGTGGATTCAGAAATTGAAAATCTACTCCATTTTTTTTATACAAATCCACCCTGGAAGAGTCAAATAATTGACCAAAGACATTTTCTCACCAACTAATGAGTGGGGATGGCGTGAAAAAGACTCAACAAAGAGACTTGGCAAGTCCCTGGGTGATGTTCAAAACTTACTCTCAAGAATTTTTACCATTAAGTTAAACAAAGATTAGATGAGACTGTTATATCTGACTGTTTTACAGAAAACAGGAAGAGACAAGTGAATGGGTGATGGGACCAATATGCTGAGTCAGCAAGACAAACCCGGGTTATGCACACTAGCTGGTTTATATAAATGTGAAAGAGGAGAAAGTAGGGTGAACAGGAGCAGAAGGAATATAAGGGGCTCTTAGAGAGAAGAGCAGGAATGCCTGGACAGTAGCAGGGGGGAAAGGAAAAGAAAGATAGCACAGAGAAAGAACCCAAAGAATCAGAGCAACATTGGATGCTCTGAGCCCCAGGCTGACACCATTTGAAATCTGATGGAGAGAAAGTGGATTTGTGTTTTTCCCCAAAGTTCTGAGACAACTGGGGAAATCTGACTACTATCTAGGCATTAGATAGGCTATTAAAGAAATTCTTGTTAAAATATTACTGTGGTTATGTTTTTCAAAATATTTTGTTGTAGTTGTCCTGAAGTACATTTTGAAATAGAATTTTTTAAGTTAAAAGGAAAAAAAATAAAACCAAAAAATTTTTTAAAAAAGCATTATTTGGATGGATGGGAGGGTGGGTTATAGATGGAGGGATGGATGGATGGATAGGTGAATGGATTGGTGGGTGGATGGATGGAGGGGTGGATTGGTGGGTGGATGGATGGAGGGGTGGATGGATGGAGGGTTGGATTGGTGGATGGATGGATGGGAGGGGTGGATTAGTGGATGGATGGATGGATGGATGGATGGATGGATGGATGGATGGATGGGTGGGTGGATTGGTGGATGGATGGATGGATGGATGGATGGATGGATGGATGCATAGATGGATGCATGGATGGATGGTGGATGTGTGAATGGATGGTGGACCTCCACCAGCCTATACTGCCAATGTTAGGGCCTGCCTGTCAGGGCACTGGCATAAGACTTAGAATCATGATAGACCCACTTAGAAAGACACAGGGACTACAACATGCATCTTACTGCTTTGTCTCATGGCAACATGAATCTGCTGGCAGCTTCCTGGCTGCTTCCTCGTTCCACATCTCTGGCCCACATGGTCTATCTCTGCACAGCTAAACTCTAAAGCTTAATCTGAGTTCTGTAGCTCAGCCTCACCTCTTGGCCTATGCAGGGATTCTGAGCATTATCTTAGGCTTTTGAAATTCTTTTCTATCTAGGCTTCCAGGAAGTGTCTCTGCTACGACCCACCGAGAACCTGTCCAAGCCACATTTGGCAAAATGTCTACATTCTAAGCAGTGAATTCTGTGTATGTCAAATGGTGTCTGTGAACATTTGGCAGAAGCTGTGTGTATATGTGTGTTCAACGTAGGTGTTTCTTATGTACTGGAAGGTGTGGGTGGGTGTGTGGGTGTTTGTGTATAAGTGTGAATGTGAAGGCAGGGACCAAGCTTGTATGTCATTCCTCAGAAATCATCTGCTTTGTGGTTTTGAGACAGGGTCTCTTACTGGGACTCACTGATTGGGCTAAGTTGGCTGTCCAGCAAGCCCTAGTGATCTCCCTATCTCAACACCCCTAACAACGGGATTACAAGTAGCCAACACACAGCATGATGCCTAGCTTTAAGTGGGTGTTGGGAATCCCACATAGGTCCTCCTGCTTACATAGCATGCATTTTACCAACTGAGCCACCTTCTCCCAACACTCCCCGGTGATCTTTAACATGTAAAGTGATGAACAGTTTCATACAATAAGTTTTCATAAAAGAAACTAATTTTAAATACACAGTGGATGGACTGACATTGTGGTATATTAACCAACTCACAGGTATTGCACAAGAATGTGAAAATGCTTTGAAACCCAAGACATTATAGGCTAACTGTAGACTCACTTTTTTACTCATCTCAGTTTAGCCTTGATGTGGAAAAGAAATCTTTCCGGTTGCAATCTGGAATTTGGATGTCTCATTTAAGGCTCTATTCATCCTACTGTGAGTCTGGGATCACAGCTGGGAACATTCTACCACGAACTGGGAAGTTCAAGTACCCAAGCAAAGATCTACTGACAACCACAGGGCTGGGGAGCAGGAGACATAGAACATGGAAGGACACATTACTCATCACCCTTTAAAATTCACCAAGCCCATGTACCCCTCAAAAGATGGCAGTAGTTGTTAGGCAGCCTTTAACTTTGCCAAAAGAATGAGAAAAGCTACCAGTGTTGTTGGAGAGTTTCTCTCCCCAGCTGACTCCAGGCCTGCCCTGAATGC